TTGAAAAAATATCTTGAAAAGTTAAAATCAATTATTTATTTTTGAAATGACATCTAATTTAGACGTTAATTATTATGAAAATAATTAAGAGTGAAATAAACAATTATATGAAAGCGTATGTAAGCCATAAATTGTTGCAATCAATTGCTTCCCCTCTGGATCTGTTGCTTAAGCATAAGAATGGAGTCGCGTTGTTCTGATGGCAACATAGCTATTTGATGGTCAGAGAGGGCCAACACCTGCATAATGAGCTGTGCCTTCTCCTGCTCCTGATTCACACTCATATTACCGCCCGATTGAGTCATTGCTCCGAAATTAGGTGGCAGTTGTATATTGGGTCCCGAAAATGGTTGCTGTCCTCCGGCGCCCCGATTCATACCAATGGCTGCGTTTCCGGCCACTCCTCTAACGTTTTGTGGCGGCATTTGAGACTGAATTCTGGGATCAATTGGTCGCGTTCTGGGATCTAAATTCTGCGGCGGAATCGATGTCGACATCTGCGCCGCCGGCGGACCGAATCGATCAAATTGGGGGACATCTCTGAGTCGGGGGTCGTGTCGCGGATCATGCATTCGGTTATCGAAAGGCTGTTGTGGTTGCGGCTGAGGAGCCATTTGTGGCGGCGGAGGACCCGATCGCTGTTGCGCTGCGTATTGGTCTCGAGGGTCGAAGATTGGCTGTTGTGGCGGAGGTATGATCTGCGGCGTGGGTCCAGTGTGTGGCAGAAGCACCTGAGGCTGAGTGGTGTTCGGGCGGTGCAACACAGACATAGCCACCTGTGGGTCCACCACTCGCATCACAACGAGCGCCTGTAGCAAAGCGTAGGCCAACTGTGGGTTCTGTATCAACATATTCCTGGCCTCCGATGGATTCGTTTGAATGCATTGCTTCATCTGTTTTGCCAATTCATACATCTGTTCGGGAGGAAGACTGGCCACCGCTTTACTGATGGCTTCGGGAGCCTTCTCGGGATCCACTTCCGGCCCGTAAGGACTCTCGAAAGCGGATCCGCTCAAAGAGATCTGCAGGTTTCGCATCTCCTCTTTGAGCCTCTCATTGGTGGCGTTGTCGACCCTCAGGTTGCGTCCGTTGAGCTCGTATTGGTTGAGATTCCTCATCGCCGACAGAGCCGTCTCCTGATCCTTGTATTCACAAAAGCCATAGCCTTTCGGTTTCCCCGACTCTCTGTCGTACACCAACTTAAAGCTGATCACTGGACCCACTTCTGAGAAGATATCCTTCAGCTTCTCTTCGGTCGCGTCGTACGGAATGTTCCCAACTGTCGACACAATCACAACAATCAATGGATCCAATCATCAAAACAATCATTTCTTACCAAATACTGAACGCAATGAGCGATCGGTTGTCGATGTGTTGGCGTTGGATGTCATTTGTCTTGTGGTCAGTGACAGCGTCTGTCAATCAATGGCTAATCAATCAAATCAATGGCTAATCAATCAAATCAATGGCTAATCAATCAAATCAATGGCTAATCAATCAAATCAATGGCTAATCAACACAAATGGCAATCAATTGAATCAATGAACCGCTCAATGAATCACTCGTTTGTCTCAATGTCTTCAACACAGCAATAGTTGACGTCATTTTAATCAATGGCTAATCAATCAAATCAATGGCTAATCAACACAAATGGCAATCAATTGAATCAATGAACCGCTCAATGAATCACTCGTTTGTCTCAATGTCTTCAACACAGCAATAGTTGACGTCATTTATGGCACCAATTCATGTCAATTGTGTCACACATTGTGAGCCATGTATTAATTGTGATAAAATGAGCATGATACTTTTAGAACTTGGACAAGTTTGCAACTAATTGATCCAGCACCTTTTGGTAACCATTTTATCAATTATCACTATTCTAGTATTCAAGTCTTTGTGGACACTTATCGCCACAAAGCGTGCCGTCCATTGCCTCCCATTCCTCCTTACCATTGATTATCATATGACAGGAAGTGAGCCCAAGATATCATGTCTTACGATGACTTCGATGACTCTCTGGACGATATATTGGGCAACATTACAGCCTCTCAATTGGATCCGAGTGTGAAGAGTGAATCCAATGTTGGGAACAGGAGTTCAGTGTTGTGTCAAACGGATGACACCTTCGGTGACGTCCCGAAGAGAACCCCGAAGAGGAAATTGGTTGTCATTAAAAGCCATAAACATCACCACAAGCCATGTGTATATCACGACAACACACCACCAGAAAGAGTCCACAAGAAACTCAAACCAACTGATAATGAAAGCAATGGTTTTGTGGACAATAATAATGAGAATGAATTGCAAATGAAATCTCAAGACTTGAATCAATTGGTGAGCACTTCATCCGATGTGATGCCAATCCAAGGGTGTAGTCACTGGACCAGTGATAGGCCACAAACCAAACACATGGACTCAACTGAAGACAATTTGTCACAAAACGAGTTCCAATTGTTCGATGACTCGGAACTGTTCACTGATCTGTACTTTACGGACAAATCAATGCATTCAGTGGACGCCACCGATGATGTCGATGTCCAGAGATCACCGCTACTTCAGTTGAGTGGTAACCACAACGACAAACCTCAGCCGAGATCATCGCAGAGTGAGTTGAGTTCAGGCGAAGACTTGATGGCAATAAAGTCCCAAAACTCAACCTCAAGTCAAAGAAGTTCTGTTTTCTCACAAATGAGTGATTTTTAGATTTATTTAACATTCAGTTTATTTAATATATCTTTTATTTATCATATTTTATGTCAATTTGTATCCAGTTTTCAATTATTCCTATATTTTATGGTGTTTTCAGTTTATGTATTATGAGTGATTTTTAGATTTATTTAACATTCAGTTTATTTAATATATCTTTTATTTATCATATTTTATGTCAATTTGTATCCAGTTTTCAATTATTCCTATATTTTATGGTGTTTTCAGTTTATGTATTCAATGTTTAGTTTATTTACAACGCTCTCCACAATCATGTATTCAATGCCCAATAAATGCATTTTATCTCAAAGTTAACCATTCATTCGCTCAACCATTGGGTGATAGATGAGTGTAAACTGTGTCCACAATTACACTCAAGTGATGATCCATTCATGTCTTCATTACTTCACTCACTTCATGTGTGATCGCATGGCTGTTGGAGTTGTTGTGTACATATAAGCGATACAATGAATGTGATAATGGACTGGCATGAGCATGGTTATGTGGAATGGTCATGTGGAATGGTCATGTGCAGTGGGCACGTGGGATCAGTTGGATCAGTTGACTTATTATATGCATGCATTTGTGGCACAGTGTGTGCAACGCGTGTGTGGAGAGTGTGTCGTATTTGGCGCCACACAGTGTCAGAGAGTGAGTGGTTGCTGTGTTTGCTATGATTGGTCGGTGCGCTCGTATGGTTGGTGGCTGTGGACCAATGGGAGCGCATCACTGCCACACTTATGCAATGGCAGTGAGACTATACTCACTATTCAACCATTACTCGCATTACTCGCACTCACAGTCTATTCACAAGCATTGCTCTAACGAANTCGGTGCGCTCGTATGGCTGTTGGCTGTGGACCAATGGGAGCGCATCACTGCCACACTTATGCAATGGCAGTGAGACTATACTCACTATTCAACCATTACTCGCATTACTCGCACTCACAGTCTATTCACAAGCATTGCTCTAACGAACCACTGGTTTGTAATCCACGTGTCATTGCATTGAATCCATATTTACTGTGTTTTGTGGTAATCATTGTCTCGCAATTCAAATCAATTAACTCATCGATTGGATCAACTGTTGTCTGGACGTGAAGTAGAGGCGAGAGATGTCAGAATCGACTGCAATGGAAAAGGTATGTATGAATGGATGATATGCTATCACTGGTGTAAATGCGGCCGAAATACTAATAACACGTATTTCTCTGTTAATACGATATCTCTTGTAATGAAGTCTTGAATTGATTTGAGATTTCGTGTCCATTGAATCAAATGAATGCAAATGACTTATAAATGCCTTCCTTTTCGTCGTTTCCCTGAATCGCCGAAAGTCTGAAAGACGTGACTCGGGCTCCGACTCGGGCGAAGACTCGAAGAACTGGCGGTCGCGTAATGGCGACCAAAGCCGTGGATACAACCGGAACGGCTTCGGCTCGTCGGGCGGCGGGTACGGGAACCGGTCGTTCGGGGGCCGTAATCGGGGGCAGAACTGCTACAACTGTGGCCAAAGCGGACACATCTCTCGCGAGTGCGACCAACCGAAGCGCGAGAGAGGCGGCGACTCTCGTAAGTGCTATAACTGTGGCTCTGAGGGCCACCTCTCGCGCGACTGCACCGAACCCAAGAAGGAGCGCGGCTTTGGCGGCAGCAGTGGTGGCGGAGCCGGTGGTGGCGGCGGAGGCAAGACGTGCTACAACTGCGGCTCTGAGGCGCACCTGAGTCGCGACTGCTCGGAGCCCCGCAAAGAGAGACCAAAGACGTGCTTCAACTGCAACGAAGTCGGACACATCAGCGCTGACTGTCCTAATGAGCGTCGCGAGCGCGGCAGAGGTGGTCAGTATGGCGGCCAACGCGGCAGTAGATATTAGAGACACCGCTCGACACAACGCCACTCTTTTCGACACACGATGTCGTGGCACCAGATTTGAGGACTTTTTGCTTTTTTGGTCATTATATCTATTAATGAATTTGTGTTTTGTTTTATTAATAAATTATCGCATTTTTTGAGTTAATTACAAACATTTTACAGTTAGTTGAATATGAAATTGAAATAACATTTATTGATATGAATGTATAAATTAATGTTAAGTATTGCCGCCGAAGATCTGTTAACACAAACGTAACGAAAATTGTTTTATAATACTATTGTTTAAATTATAATTAACTCTCGATTTCTGTTTTGATTTATCATTTTTCTTTTACTTCAATTTAAATGTACTCTTATTTGTGTTAATTCACACTAAAAGTCATTATTTTTTCCAATCGGTTGTCATTTTGTATCGAAATATAAACATTTGAAACACAAATTTGTAATAAAATAATACATTTTATATATATCTTAGAATTTAAACACTATTATTAATGATTTGTGCCTAAATTACATGAATATATATTTATCTTTCCGTTTGTCTGATGATTTGATTTTGAAATTAAAAATTCATTAAATTTATGTCCGAAATAATCTAAAACCGATTCAATTGTGTGTTTCATGTGTTTTTCATTATCAAAACATTGAATAAAGAGTTGATTGAAAATATGAAGACTAATACTCTATTCAGTGTTGAGATGAAGATCTGAAGACTTCAAGACCTGTTTGTGATTCCGTTGAACACATCTCACACTTCAGACAATCAGTTGTGACCCAATAGTGAACTCAATATTAATACAAGTAATGAGTTTTATTTGTAGTGTATTTCCATTCCATTGATTATCTCTTATTAGACATCGTTTTGAGGTCATTGTGTAATTAGATGAGAGGCAGTGGTGACCAAAAGGGTAGTACTTTTCGCACTTATTGAACAGGTTTTCGCACATCAAATGTGTGTTCAACTAATTATGAACACTATAACAGTTAGTAATAGTAAAGGTATAGTAATAGTACTAATTGTCTCATCAATTCATTATTATATACTCTGTAGTACAGAGTCTGTACACTGTATTGTGGATCAAAGTTATTGACAATTGTCTTCAGTAATCACTGATCCCTCCCTCAGCACCAACTGGTCTCCTGGTCTAAGCCGTGAGCCCTCAATACACTGATCACTCATATAAATAGATATTTGATTACTAATTAGTTACATAACTGCATATTTGCAACAATTTTTTATTTTATAAAATCAAGTAAATTTAAACTAAACTAAACTATTCATGAATATAGCGGTTATAAAAGTGCTTTCAATCGGATAGTGTTGAGTTCAATGACTTCAATATTTAGATGCAATTTATGGCAACAACTCATTCAAAGGTTGGCATATATTTTAGTTATTGTGTTGAATCTCAACACTTTTTTCAGGTAATAAGCGTATACTTTGTGTTTAATTGAATAATACAATAGAATTAGCAAATGTTTGTCTAATAGTGATTGAGTTGATATTGAATATTACAGTAATCATAACAATCAGCAAATTATTTATTGAACTTATGATTGACTTTTCAATTGAAGAGTTAATAAATTCATAAAATATTTCTAAGTTTTAGAAACCAATCCTTGAACTCAACAGCTTTTGTTTGTGACCTCAAAAAGTTGATAATCATAACAAAATACCTTTAAATAAACTTATATTGTGTTTAGAAATTATTAAAAAATATACGTATGGATAAACTATTTGTATTTATTTCTGATACATACTGTATTACCGTAATATAGTAATACTGTACTGTATTTTCGTAGTTCTTGGAAAACATAATTTCTATAGAAATACGAAGATTTCATAAAAATGAGTTATAAAATGAAATTACCGGTAGTAATCAAATCAATTATTTCATACAATACTGTAATTACAATACTTGTTAGAAATCTGATAAGACTCAATGTTATTTAATAGTGCAGGTATTTATGAAAATCCGTTATACTGTATGAAAGTTTTTACAGGTAATCGTATAAGTTATGAACTCATAGAGAGTTAGCGAAAGTGTTACAAACTTTGGTTTCATTGACATTCAATTAAGTTGAGTTCATCATTCAAAAGTAGTCTAATTAACCGGTGATGACAAGTATTACTGTATGAAAGTAATGTTTTCAAGTGATCTTTATTTCAAAACTAGCGTTAAATCACAATTGTATGACAAACCAAAAATTGGTTATA